CTTCTGCTCCTCCAATGGCTGCCACTGTAGACATCTTACCAGCATCACATAACACCGTTGTCACTAGTATAACTTGCAATGAACCCACGATCACACACACCAGTGCCCCAATTCTTAGCTTTAACCCACCCTCTTCATACACCATCGCCCCCACAACACTCGACAGTGTTCCTCTGCTCTACTACCACCCTTCTTCCTGCACAATCCCCACCACTGAAATAGAAACCTTCTATGAACCTTCCTTCATAAACCCTTTCATAGAAACCTACCCGTTAGCATCACATAACACACCCACAAACACACAACTTTGCATGGCTACACACAATGCTCCCACTCTCCTCAACTCCCAACCACCACCACCTTCAGGTTTACCCATAACACCAATTTATCTCACAAATCAGCTCAACCAAGTCATTTCTACTCCTCCTTCATATACAACTTATTCACTAGACCCAATTGTAAGCCAGACGTCGACCATGAATTCACCAAGTTCTTTGGGTATGGGCCCATCAACATTCAATCCCCGCCCTTTATTTGACACTACAAGTGCATTTGGTGGGTTGCATTATAATGATGACGCAAATGTTGGTTTTGGGTTTTTTACTGATGCTGGAATGACAGTGAGACAGTCAGAGGCTATGGAACCATGCAACTTAGGAATGTACTCGTCTGCACCCATGCAGACATTCTATGATCCAGAAAACTTACAGGTATATATATATATATCCATCATTCATGAATGCAAAGTTGTTTAGTTAAATTATAATCAAAATTTCTCTGAAGGTGTTAAGAGATAGCAACCAACCAATGGTCGGATGTAGCACGAGCATGGCTCCATTACAAGTGGCTGCTAAAGATGAGTCAAAAATAGATGAATCAGATTTTAAGGTTCCCAAGTTAACATTAGCGGAGAAGAATAATAAGATAAATAGGTACAAGGAGAAGAAAAAAGCCAGAAATTATAACAGAAAAATCAATGTAAATATGGCTGAGAAGTTTCACATAAATCTTTAATTTCTAATATTTATGTTACAATGTCACTTACATGAAACAAAATGTTATAGTATCCATGTAGGAAGATTCTAGCCGATAGCAGACATCGAGTTCGAGGAAGGTTTGCGAAGAATGATGAGGTTCCCCAAGCGGCATCGAGGCCACCCACATCTGTCGATCATTAATTTGATGACGTTGATGAAAGAGTATGTTATGTGATGCTCTAACTCTTGTGTTTCTAATTATTGGCAAATTAAACAATACATGTGTTGAATGTAAAAAGTACAAAACTTTTCAAACACAAGTTAATCTGACATAACTCTGCAATTAATATACTATATAAATAGAATGATCAATAGAGCACAATGAAAGAAAATATTATTCTCATGTTTTATTCTAAACTAAAAATTTGTATTTATGCATGATAATATTTTCTTAAAAGACTAGATTAAAAAAATACATGAAGAATATTTTTTAAATGCAAAACATCAATGCAAGAAGAAATATGTTATTGTTTATACATGAATGCAATTTAAATGTAGTAGATTCCTAAATATCTTCTTCTATTGACTTCAACTTGCAGATAGTAGCGAAGCAACATGAAGAAAGGCTTCAGTCTTCCACAACAATGGCTCTTAGAAGCCATGGACATGATTAAGATCATATAAATAAGTTCTAAATTCTAGTTGTTATTTTCCTTCATGTACATTGCTTTCACAACTATCCACTACACTGCATGCTACTCAGTCAATAAATGATGGCATGTGCGTTGTAATTTTTTGTTTTTTTTTTGTTGTTGGATAAATCAATGTGAGGAATATATTCAATTTTTGTTTAGCTTAGCTTCTATATTTTTCTACCTTTTAAACATTAAAACAAAATATGTTTTCTTAAATTAAAATTGAATTACAAATTAAAAAAATTATAAACTAAGAATAATAATCTAATCAATCGAATTTATTGCTCAAAATTTTCTTCTTGATACAATATGATGCACATATATCTATTCCTCACATTTTCATTGAAAATTGAAATAAAAACATGCATGAGGCTACTTAGTTCCAAGGAAGCATGTGGTCGATTAGTTCCAAGGAAAAGGAAAAGATAATTAAAAATGAGGAAGCATGCCATCTACATCAAATCATGGTGATGTTTTGGTTAATATTTTCCATGTTAATTAGAACATACAGAAGAAAATTAAGAGAAAATGACTTGAGATGATATTAATATATTATAATGAAGAAATCCTAAACTAGCATGCTCTATTAACCCATGATTCTAGCAAGTTAGATAACTAAATCCCATTGATGTTCCTATATGTGAAAGATATTATGGAAGTCTGAGCTTACAAAAAAAAAAAAAACAATGTTCTCATTATTAATTACGTATTTAGGTAAGTTTGAGAAATCTCTCAATTAAAAAATATCACGTGTACTTGTGTTTATTCAAAATTAATCACTTCTTATGAGAAAATATACAAACTTAAAAAAGAAAGATGAGTTGTAGTCAAAGAGCGTTGAAGTTTAATCAAGTAAATCAACAGATATGTGTAAACACGGAGATCCCTAACAAACACTAAACCTTACTTATAATGATTTGGAAGTGTGTTCATATAATGGTGAAGGATATGGGTGAGCACTTAGCATGGCGGAAAAGCAATCATGAGATTGTGATCAAAGTCACCCAAGTTCTAATTATAAAGTTCTTCCTATGAGAATATCATTGCTTTTATGTTTGAGAAATATATTTTTTTGTGTTCATATAATGGTGAAGGATATGGGTGAGCACCTAGCATGGGGGAAAAACAATTATGAGATTGTGATCAAAGTAACCCAAGTTCTAATTATAAAGAAGTTCTTCCTATGAGAATATCATTGCTTTAATGTTTGAGAAATATATTTTTGATTTGGAAACATTCAAGACAATGAAGAAAAACTAATATTCTAAAACATTGGATAATATTTAACCATCCAAAAATCCCAAACTTTAGTAAATGGAAGCTCTCGAATAAAAAAATATAAGTGAGTAGGATAATAATGGATGAAACCAAGGGATAACAACCTAATAAAAAGAAGCTAGCCTAAAGGATAGGCAAACTACTTTAGAAGATAGGTTGACTAATCCTAATGAAAGAGATTCTAAACTATGAAAGTAAGCACTAATTCAGAAAGAAAGGGTAACTAATCTAAGAAAGAGGATATACGTGCTAGGGAGATATACTCTAGCCTAAAGAAAGGGAGAGTTGTTTTAAATAAAGGGATGTCTAATCCTGAGAGAGAATGACTATCATATAAAGAAAGATGAAGCCTATCTTAAGAGAGGCTAATCCTAAATAAAAGAATATATATCTAAAAGTAAACAATTCTAAGAGGAAGAATAAATAACCTTAGGAATATAAGAATAACCCAATGGATAAGATGAATAACCTAACAATAAGTCAATATTCTAAACTCAATAAATAATTAAGAGATATCTATCTGGAGAGATGGTGTCTAACCAAAGGGAAAGAAGAAATAGATCAAAGGAAAGGTTGGATGAGTAACCCATGAGGAAGGATGACTTTCTTAGAGGATAGGATGGCAATCCCAGGGAAGACATTTACATTGGAGAGAGGAATACAACCTAAGGAAGAAGGATTAGCAATGAAAAAAAGAAAAAAAACTAACCTAAGGTATTTCTTCAACCATGAGAATGATTATCTACATATATGGGTAATATCATCCAAGGGGATCTCATAGAACTAAAGTTGTAAGGTGACTTAATCTTAAACTGATAGATGAGACTTGCACTTAAAAAAATTAAGAGGAGAGAAATCCAAATAATAATCCTTTGACATAAGGGTTGAGAATATTCCAGATTTTAAGAAAATAATCTATGGATAGGACTTAAAATATGATAGAACATATGATTGAAAGACTCAACATGCTAAATTAACACTCAACCTAGTCAAGATGCCACTAACATACTTAAATGCACATGAAAGTGGGTCCAATCGAACCAAAATGAAGGAGAAAATCAAACACACCCAAGAGTTGGCTAGTTGGAAAAAAAAATTGTGATATATTTTCTTAATTATTTTTCTCTTTTGAGTTCCCTACCCTTAAATGAGCTCCAAAATACAAGCAGACTCATTAGATTATTATATAATATAAATTTTACAAATGAGACATTTACCAGCATGAAGGACCCAAACGTACAACCACTACTCTCACTAAAAGCGTAGAGTAAATGTGTTTTCATTTATGCATATAACCTCATTGAGAATGTCATATTCATTTTTCTTTAATTTAAAAGGTTTGATTTTAATTGTATGTTCTTAAAAATTCACAGAGCAAGCTACAAGAAGAAATAAATATTTAATAATATAATGAGGAAAATTTGCAAGTGTAAATCCCTATCTTCCTTTCCTCTTAGGGCTTCCTAGGTAGATTCCTTTATAAAATATATGCTATTAAAGATATAAAATTGATCTCTCATCACATCATATCACATTTAAGTACAAAAACATATATTATCATAATCATTACATCATGGCAGATGCAACACAAGCCAAGGTCATAAATATAATAATATGAGCCAAGTACATAGCATGGATGGGCACATAAAGGAACACAATAAAAAAGAACCTACAATACGTGAGCATGCACCAAATATCATCAACTAGAGTTGCAAGATCATGCAAAATCAACCTATAAAATTAACATTAATAAAGCAGAGCTTAAAGTTTGGAAGTGTGCATGAGAATCATGTATGACAATGATACACACATGAAATGAATAATTTAAAATCAACACTGCCAAATCTCAAATTGGAGATCCAATAGCAATATATATTGTCATTAGTTCCCTCCATCACTCCAACTAAGCCATAAAAGATGGTGTGACTCCTTCATTACATTTCAACAAGCAGTAAGGGTAGTGATTTGTACTATTTGTCAATAAGTAACACAACTATCATGTGAGAGTTTGTTTTGTCAACGTTGGCAAAGTGATAATCTATATTTAAATAGACTTTAAGCGCAAGACAAAAAAAAGTCCTAAGCTTAAATAAGGCCTAAAAGAGTGAGATTAACTACTATTAACTATCACCATAACAACCTAATATGTTTATAAAATTAAAATAAAGTTACCTACAATGGGCTAAAGAAGAAAATGCCTCAAACATGTTTGCCCATTTCATTTTGTTTGCTTGTAGAACTAACCTTTTTAGACTAGCTCAATTGGGACAAACTTAGGAGGCTTAAGGTTGACTAAATGGTCCTAAAAATATCCTCTACAATTTGGTTTCATGCAAGTATCAAAATTTCTAATGAAGTTTAGGTTAGAATAGATTGACATACGATCAACTAAAGGCAAAAAGGTTAAGTTGAACAATTTTTTATCAGAGAGGTTTAAGTTAAATTGAAGTGACTCCTTGGAACTAAGTTCAATATAAACTGCACTTGGCTAGCTTAAGAGTGTTTGATTTAACACAAGATGGTTATGATGATCTGAATCATCTAAATGGTTTAAGTTAAATTGAAGTGACTCCTTGGAACTAAGTTTAATATAAACTGCACTTGGCTAGCTTAAGAGTGCTTGATTTAACACAAGATGGTTATGATGATCTGAACCATCTAAATGGCAATAGTTGGCCTAAGGTCTAATAAGACTAGCAAAGCCTCGTTAATTCAAGTGAGCATTGATATGGTTATGTGTATGCTCTATTTGATTGTAGTAGAATATCAAAGATGAACTGGTCAAGGAATGAGCTTGATCAATCGAAAAAATATTGAGTCTAATCTAATAGATATAACAGAATATTTTGAATTGTCAAATAAAAAAAGAGTACTAATCAGGTCACTTACATGGGCAAAGAGGGCTTATGTCGTAGCTAAATTAGGACGACACAATTAATAACTATAATATACATAGTCTAATTTCACTAAATCAATCATAGGAAAATATATAGTGCTTAAGGCATATTGACCATGGAAAGATTAGTAAAATAAGCTTATATACATGCTAGAGATTGAGTGAACCTAGGTGATAGAATTGAATCAAAGTTAGAGCTTCTCCCTACTGACCATAGACCTTTGAAGTTGCCAAATAGTCAGGAAACCAAGCTTTGTCGAAGTGCTCTAGCTTTGTTTGAAGAAGTTATCAATGCGATCTATGTGGTCAATCCACCATTGGTTAAAAAGTCAAAATTTTGTCTCAAACTTGAAAGATCGGTGCACTTTCTTACTTTCAAAACTTCTTTTTTGATGGTGCAACTTCCCAATCCAATTGGTATTGGTTACCTTGCAATCTTCTTCTTTGCACTCTTTCTTTTCTCCATTAGCAAGATTATATTTCATTAATATTCTCTAAAAATGAGCCTTAATTTGATACAATTGGAGGGATTACTTCGTAATGTGCTAATGTAGTTATCATAGCAATTGTTTTAGGAAGATATATGAAAAGAAACAAATTAATTTAATCGAGTAATTGTGGATTCAATAATGGGTGGAAGTGCTAGGATAATTTTGATTAAGTTTTGGAGCATTTCCTCTCTTATTTTGGACATCATGCTTTCGTTATCTATGTTTTCCTTCACTCGCTCACTCCCTCTCTCTCAAATTAGCCAATATACATGCAAATATACTCTTACACGTATAAAATTGATGGGTGACAAAGTGCATATCCAAGCCAACCCTTTTGATGTAGAAGAGAGAGACAATAAGTAGTTTCTGACTTCATTAACATTTC